AAATTTTCGAAGTAGGTAATGTAATGTCTCACGTGACGTCGCCAGTGTCAATCTCGCTAAGATGGCGGGTCCAGGTGTAAATGCGATGGTATCCGTTGACGGGATGAGTACCAGACTTTAAATTAGCAGGAAAAATTCGCACAACACGTGAATAAAATGAAATGTTTAAAATATATATGTTGACACTACGGTGAGAAGCTGGCGGCACATCCAAAAAATTTGAAATTCTACCATGACTCGCACAAAATTGTAAATTAGTACAAAATGAGCATAAAATTAGGTCCGTGAAGTTGGAGTGTCGACTTGAAAGGAATTAAGTTCCAAGTATCTCATAATTTTGTACTCATTTTGTGCTAATTTGTGCTGCCAATTTAAAATTTTGTGCTCATCAGGTTAATGAGTAATTCAACTTTTTCTGATGACACTACAACTTCACGCTTGAGTGTCAACATCGATATTTTCAAAATTTTCTTTTACTATAATTTTGTGCTCATTTTGTGCTAATTGTGCTGCTAATTTAAAATTTTGTGCTAATCAGGTTAATGAGTAATTCAACTTTCTCTGATGACACTCCAACTTCACGCTTGAGTGTCAACATCGATATTTTCAAAATTTTCTTTTACTATAATTTTGTGCTCATTTTGTGCTAATTTGTGCTGCTAATTTAAAATTTTGTGCTCATCAGGTTAATGAGTAATTCAAATTTTTCTGAAGATACTCACTGTAGTGTCAGTTAGTTGGATATTGCCATCGCCGTTTTTTTGGCAAAAATTTCATCAAATGTCGACATTTTAGATCATTTTAAGCAACTTCTAAATAATAAAATTTTTCTGCCTGTGGGTACTACTATGTACAGTGTGGTCCAATTTCGATGGGATTAAATGGGTAATTTTCTTATTGGCGCAGATAAACGAAAACGGTTTTAGTACTCGTGTCCTTATTTTTTATGCTTATTCCATTACCTTTGCCGGAAATAAGCTGCCGTCTTTTGTTTTTTCACTAGAGAGAAAAAGTGAAAAATGTTGAAGCTAGAACAAAATGGCTTTAGCATTATTCAATCAGTTTTTAATGTAGATAACCAATGTCGTCAGTCGTTTGTTTCTAGACCTTTTAATAACCAACTTTTTATTTATTTATTATTGTCTTTATTTTATAGTGGGCGGAGTGTTAGCTAATTAGCTACTCTTTCCACAAAAAAACTTTTGTTATTATCTTTCAGGCAAGATGTATTAATAAGCAAAATTTATTGTAAAAAGCTTATTCTTGAAAATAAGTATGATGTATTATACATTTTAGGAAAGCTCGTAAAGCAATAAATTTTTTTAAACCATGGTAAATTGTAACTTCAATTAAAAAAAATCAACTTTGAGTTACAACGCAGTTACTAAAAGAATTAGAAACAAACAAATCGTACAAAAGAAATAGGGCTGAATTTGTGTTTATGAACTTATAACATTAATCCGAATTATAATGGAATTTTGTGATAAAATGGTTACCCAATTTTCGTGTATAATTAGTCGTAATGACAATTATCAGGCTGAAGAACGGAATGAAGCCTGTGAATGCGGTATCTGTTTGCACAGCTTGCAATCTGTTTTATTTTAATAGATTTACTATTCTTAAATGTTTTCTATTTTTTTAATGGTAGAACCTAGATTTTAGCGCATTTTTAAACTTATGTTGGAAGGCGCAATTATGACCACTTTCTCCGTCCGTCCATGCGAGGGCGCCACTGCTCCTACAGTTTTCAATATATTTAGTTCGTTCTTCTTGAATTCGGTAGCTCTGTTACCTCATGACGATAAATGTGCGCATGCGCAATATCAATTTTCTTATTTATTAATATATTTTGCTGAAATTTTCACCACCTTTATAGTAAAGGCAAACATATCGCATATGGTAAAAATCAGGTGTGCGCATGCGCAGACTGCACAATGCCCGCATCCTTTTTTTATAGATATTTTTGGAAAATTTAACCACATTCTAGTAAAGGCAAACGTCCCATATTAGATATGCGCATGCGCAAACCGCCCAATACTAACTTCCTTATTTTTAATTATAGATGCTTCTAATAACGAAAAACATAGGTCACATAACAATGGACTATGGAAGTCCCGAATAATGCATGAAAAATGCTCGCAATTTACTCGCCTTAGGCCCAAACCTCTTTACTTTTAACTTTTATGTCCACAGTAAGGTGCCTTTTGCGGCTTCGCTCTCTTTTTTTTATTACTCTCCCTTGAGCTACATCCAGGGGTGTATTTCCCACAAGGCGGACTAGTTGCGCGCCTAGAGCGGCAAATTCTAGGGGTGGTAAATTTTGGAGGAAACATTTTGAGTATTCACCAGTTTTGGTTTTGTTTAGCAAGAAGCATGAAGCGTAGAGACCACAAATTTAAATATCTGATTGTTTGTTGATGAGCGGTAAATACGGCAACCAGGAATAAAACAAGGAAAGGAGTATGTAGCGTTCTTTTCTTACCAATTGATATTCCAAATTTATATTCCTTATATACTTCGAATTTTACTCGTTGATTGTTGAGTGAGAAATAGCAAAGAGGCGCAACTATAATGTAAAATTGCGATACATATTCCCGAAGCTTCCCGTGCCCACAGTCCACAGTGGGAGGGGTGTGAGTGTGTTAGACGTGCGACTCTGATGCTTAAAGGCCACCCAACAACACAAACCGATTGAAAACCAATGAAAGAGCGTTGGACTATAATTCCGGAGGTCGGGTGTTCGAACCTGGATTGAGGTGAATTTTTCATCTGTGGCAGATACCTTAGACCAGTTGCGAGCATTCTGCCCGCTACTCTGAATGACGTTTTTCTGCAGTTTTCCTAATTCGTAAGGTAAATACCGGAGTAGTATAAAACAACTTAATACCTTCTCTGCAGAGGCACCTCTAAAAAGCACTATGCGGGTCACTCTGTAATTGGGCGTAAGCCTGTTGAGGGCCCAGAACAAGAGAGGAATAGTAAATAAATAAATAAACGCTGCTACATCTGCGGAAATCGATTATTCTTTACCAAATTGCCGATGTACTGAAGCATCTTGCAATAAGCCTCATCTAAATTAATCGAGTTGCACCTCTCTATATTTCTCACCCCATCTAGGTATTCCCTCTGTAAACCCGTTTAGTTTAGATGCCAGTCATTTCTATAGTATATTTGTTATTACCATAGTTCTTTGGTTCGCCACTAGAGGTCGTGATCTTCTTTTTTTTCTACATACGCATGTCCTATACTTCTTCCTTTCAGAGACGATCTGGATCTGGGTTAATTGCGTGCAAATTTTTCTCGATACGCCATTACTTTTTACTTGACTTTGTGTCAATCTGTTTTGGCTGTGAACATATTTCTATTGAGTGTTTTTTCTCTATTTCTGATGTGCTGTGGCTGTGCTCCATTGAATACGCTTTGCAAGTAATTAGTGTGAGGTATATACTTCAGCATTTTTCTTAATACGTTTTTTAGGGTTTTATCTTCCCTCAAGGTTCGCTCAAACTTCTCTCTTAACTTCTTATCATTTTCTCTTCTGGATTACTTTTACGTTATTCTCTACCTGGATATTTCTTACGCAGAACGTGGATGACATCGCAATTTTACCCATAGAACAACAATTTACCTGGACCCGCCATCTTAGCGAAATTGACATTGACAACGTCACGTGAGACGACATTGCATAACCTACTTCGAAAATTTACACCTGGAGATGTACCTAATTGTTCATTACTAACTGCAAGTATTTGCGAAACCTTTTGGAGAATATTAGCTTTCTATCTTTACACCATCATATTCTTTTTCTATGAATATCTTTACAATTCTTTCGGTGTCTAGAATATTATGGGTTTCCAACTTAGACAATACAGTACATGGACTGCTAATTAGCAGTACAAATTAGCACAAAATGAGCACAAAATTATAGTAAAAAAATTTTGAAAATATCGATGTTGACACTCAAGCGTGAAGTTGGAGTGTCGTCAGAGAAAGTTGAATTACTCATTAACCTGATGAGCACAAAATTTTAAATTAGAAGCACAAATTAGCACAAAATGAGCACAAAATTATAGTAAAAGAAAATTTTGAAAATATCAATGTTGACACTCCAGCGTGAAGTTGGAGTGTCATCAGAAAAAGTTGAATTACTCATTAAGCTGATGAGCACAAAATTTTAAATTAGCAGCACAAATTAGCACAAAATGAGCACAAAATTATAGTAAAAGAAAATTTTGAAAATATCAATGTTGACACTCCAGCGTGAAGTTGGAGTGTCATCAGAAAAAGTTGAATTACTCATTAAGCTGATGAGCACAAAATTTTAAATTAGCAGCACAAATTAGCACAAAATGAGCACAAAATTATGAGATACATGGGACTTAATTCCTTTCAAGTCGACACTCCAACTTCACGGACCCCATAAAATTGTAATAAAAGAATATTGACACCCCAGCGTGAAGTTGGAAAAAGTTGAATTGCTCATTAAGCTGATGAGCACAAAATTTTTAATTAACAGCACAAAATGAGCACAAAATTATGAAATACCTTTCAAGTCAACACTCCAATTTCAGGGACCCAAGGAGATGTTTGTACCTAAAGGGGAATAGCCGTTACCTTGGAGTTGCTTATAACCCTTTTGGAGGGCTCCCTTGCAGTTAATTTCAAATGAAATCATACTATGATCTGACATGGTCGCTTTTGGAGTGACTTGCCAGTTCGTTATGTGGTCAGAGGCACTCGACGATGTCAGACTGAGATCAATCCCAGTCTGGTTTCGGGTAGTTACGAACGTTGGTTCACTTCTACCTCCTGGTATCCAAAACTGAGCCGGTCCAAGGTCAGGAGTACTAAACCTTCAGGCTTAGATTCGAAATTTTTTGGAATAACAGGGTTTTACTTAGCTTCAGCTACGGAACTAACAGACGAGGTTTGTATTCATCAATTTTTCAGTGGGTGACATCGCTCAATTTCATGTGCACTAATTTACTCTTCTTTTCCAGAAGGATCCCGACCTCTCGTTCGAAATGCACCACAACGCTCTTCATCACGACTCGCTGTTACATTCCAATTAGGTACCTACTTTAAGTGTTTTTAAAGAAGAAACTCGAAGTTTGAGGCACAAGATCGTCGATTACCGTCCTTCCACAATCCTCTGCCTTAAATTAACGCCGTAGAAATTTTAATTGTGTGAACTGTAAATAACATAATTATTGTAACGCCATATTGTGATAAATGTTTGAAATACATTAGCGATTAAGTAAACGTTTCGAAGTCGCTTAAAAACGTAACTTTCTAATTATTTGCATATACCTATATCGATACCGCTCACAGTCCAAGGAAAGTGCAAGTTGAATATTGCAATTAAGCGGAGCCTGGTCAAGGCGAGTTGCATGCTTGTTTTGCATGTAATTACTGCAACTGAAATACGTCAGATTATTTTTAAAAACTGGATTTTAAGATATTGTTCGAGTAGTAATAATCGTAATTAGTAGGTTTTGAGGTCGTGGTATTGAAGCATAGTGTCCAGTTGTATTTAGACAATTTTGTGAACAAGTGGAACGGATCGGAGTCTTATTGTATGTAGGTGAGTCGTTTAAAAATTGAAAGTAGGTATAATTGCATTGCATAACCACCTTTGCCAATTTATGCACAATATGCAAGTAAATTCAAATCCTTTTCAAGTCATTAAAACTCGATGAAGATGCCACTGAATTTTTCCACTCCAGTAAAAAGTGTAGAATATACAGCAGCAATACCTTTCTTGGAGATCCAAGATTCTAAAACGGCTTCAATATTTCTAGGAGAAACATCTGTTTAAAGACACTAAAAAAAGTTTTCAGATGATAATCATCAATGCTCTTTGGCTTCTCCACTTCTTTCTGTCAGCAGCTCATTTCTTCATCTTCCCATACGCTTCTCTTTCCTTCAACCTGCTGATAATTGCCATTCTTTTTCTTCCTCCAAACTTCCTTCTAACATCTTCCTTAATACATGCCCAATCCAATTACTTCTTCTTTTTGGTGTAGTGTTCAACAACTTTCTTTTCTCCCTTATTTCCAGTATCATTCTTGGATTTTGATAACCCTCCTCCATAACCGAAATCCAAGACCTCTTATTCTTTTTTCTCCCTCCGTTTAGCACATCTTCATTACCTTTGATTGCTTTTTTATTAATTATAGAGCCTCCTTCTGCCTTCGGCATTCCATTGAGCTTATGGACACTTTCTACCAAAATGACCATATTGTCCGCAAATCTGACACAATTTATTTTTCTGCCTCCTACCTTTGCCCCAGTATCCCAAAAATTCCAGTAAGATATCATCCAAGTAGGCAAACGTTAAAAAAGGTAGGAGACACAAAAAGAGCTTATGTTTGAGCGCATACTAGTCCATACTTCTATGCCCCCCCTCCCTTTGCCGGTGGAATCATTTCAGATTCCAGGAAGATCACTCCCCGCTCTCATATACCGCGTTGCATAGTGATCTCATTCAAACAACTCCACCCCAGCTGCCTGTCCACTCTTCATTTCTTTCATTGCCACCCTTACCTCCCCCGTAATTATACTGATACGATTTATAAGAGATTTCCATAGCCTCTAGCGTTAGAAGAAGTATATGTTGTATGGTATAGTATATAGGAATGGTAGGTAGGGACAACTGAAAATCTCGTTATTCCGCTCATGCGCCCCCCCCCCCACCCCCACACTCGCTCATTCCTACTACGAGCACCTCGGATCTTCTTGGAGGAGGCAAACTCGCAGGAGCTTCTGCGGACTTGGCTCTGAACAGGTACCTCCAAAGGGAAAGGGCTACGTAAAAGCTGCCCCCCCCCCTCTCCCGCGACCATGGAACCCGATGTCTGTTTTCAGGCCGATTTGCCGCCGTGGCAGTACCCTAAGAAAGGCACGCCTTACGACTCGCACTCTCTCGTTAATAAAAATCGTGTATATAGCGATATATATAGACATATATGTTCTGGAGAGCTATTTCTATCCTCTTGAGGATTGCGTTGTCGCCATGTCGCAATGTCATCTCGGCACTGAATGCAGTCTCCCTTTCCCTGTTTTTATTTGTGTTATTTGTAGAGTTTTGATTTTGTTTTATGGGGAATAAATTATATATTATTATTATTATCTATCCTGAGGAAACTGCAGGAAGCATCGCCATTTTAGGCACGACCTCGACTCATGGCCACCCTGTCAGCGCATGAGTTGACTGTCATTTTGATGGCTGTAATTTGATTACACGGCTTCAACAGCATGGAGTCTGCCAGCTAGGCGACCGACGTACCTTGAGAACCAAGGGCTGTCCATCTTTGGAGTTCTTTCCTCTTTTATTGGTCCTTGTGTACCTGTTAATCTGTTTATAAGTCTATAGTGTACTTAACCCCCAGGCTGTACACTAACTTCACACTACAAGAACACGGAAATAAAGTCAACCCGGCAACGTTTAAAAATGGCCACCCGAATGACTATTCCCGCCAAAACTAAACAAGATCCCGCTTAAATTTGAAAAGTGGCACGTGATAAGACATCTAAAGCAGGGTCCCCTTACGTTAGATGTAGACAACGCTTTGACCTGAAGCACAGTAGGGAAGGAACGTAAAATAAAACACTCAAATTGTGAAAAGTTTGTTTAATAATGATCGCAATTATTAAGATTGTGAAAGCTCGGAAATTTAAGTCGAAATAAATTACATTGCAAAAATAAACTTTGAAAATGGTAGTTCACCGAATAAAAAAAGAAATAAGCTTGGAAAAAAAAGAACTTACCAATAAAAAAAACCAGCCGTCAAATTCATATCAAATTGGGTTGTAAAATTTATTGTTTGTAATGATGTGAATGCGTAACATAAAATTATAACATCACAAAAAGTAGTAGGTAAACTTCAAGAGGTAACATAAAGGTTAAAAACAAGTTTTGGGAATTATGGGTCAAGTAAGCAGGTAGTAACAAGATTCTAAAAGAGGGTGAAATACACAGGATATGACTCATCTATGGTGCAATAAAGTCCTTTTTGTTTAAAGGAAATTGGAAAATTACATGGCCTTGTAAGCAAATTTAACTAAAAGCAAGATATGTGGAAATTATTGAACCGCCACTCATTTATCGCACATAGATTTTAAACTGAAAAGCTTTGATTAGCGTAATCCCGCTCCGGCAAGATGGGTAACCCGCCCCTGGTTTCGGGGTTTCGAGCCTACAGTTGAATGTCGAAGACAATCTCGGAATTAGGTGTCGTACTTCAAATGGTTACAGTTTTTACCACCTCCGTGACTGCTTCATTCACGGAGAAAATTGTTAGTAACAAACAACAAGTCAGTACATACATCAAACGAATCGGTAATTTCCACATATTAAAATAAAATGATCAAAACTTACATGAATGTTACTTCAGGGACAAGACCAAGTAATCAACATCAATAAACATAAATTAAGCAAGCGTTACACCAAAAACGTAAACAATTACAAACAAAAGGATAACGGTATAAAACATGTCATTCTGCATTGCGGTTAAACCAAGTAAATTTCAAAAACAAAGATTCAAACACAAAAAATATAAAATGCGGCATACAAAACACAAATACGATATAAAGAAATGTAAAAATTACTCCCTGCATTAAATAACACAAAATAACAACAAACATTTATGCAGCAACGCGTTCACGGCCGCCATTCAAGACAAAATGGTCATCGTAACCCCCGTTTGTGCTTCTTAGATGGCGCAGGCAGCTTTTTCCCCACATAGAATGTGCATTGTTGCCAACTCTCAAAAATGTATGTATCGTCGCAAGTTGTATATACAGGGTGGAACCTTTCAAGTCTAAGATCAGACAAATTAAGTGAGTCGTAGTTACTGCTCTCCGAACCGGTGGTAGGGGGATGGCGATCGATGCTTTTTTTAATCTCTTCACGTTGACATTCAGAGTACTGGGCAGAAATCGGTGGTGTATGTCCCCCTTATTCAAAATAAAAATCTGACTGTACAGGGTGTCCCATTCATAATGGTCACGCGCCATATCTATGGAACCGTTAATTGTATAGCTTCGGGAAAAAAATTTGTTAACAAAAGGGGTCAAGGGATATCGCTGGAAATTATTTTAAAGTTTCTAACTTCGCCGCTAGAGGGCGTACGACTCATGGGTAAGTAGAGAAACGACTTTTATTAAATTAAATTAAAGTTTGAATAATTTTTTCGTTGCTCATAATTTAAAAACTTAGATTGAGTGTTAATTTTGACCTGCCATCGCCTCATTCACTTTGACATAATTATCCGTTGCTATGTGTTCATTTGTTTCAAATCCAACTTGAATGAGCATCAATATTAGTGTTCGTTTACAATGAACGTATACGTAAGAAATACATAAAACGTAAAAATTTCGCAAAGTTGAACTGTATAGAAACATACGAAGGTGTTTACAATGAACGTAATTTTTATGTACGTATATGTAAGCGATATGTAAGTCTTGCGCATAGTCGCAAAGGTTGAAAATGTTTCAAAGTTACGTACGGTCAAATATCATACTACTTGTAGTATGATCTTTGGTCAAATAACGGGCGATCAAAAATGAGTTGCTGTCGAGTCGCCTTTGGAAGTTAAAGTTAAGTACGATTTCACATGGAAACAAAAATTCCAAAGGTGACTCGAAAGCAACTCATTTTTGATCGCATTGTATCATACTACTTGTAGTATGATCTTTGGTTTATTGTAAACAGCGAAGTAAATTTACTGAAACGATACGGATATGTACGAGTTACGTTTTATGAAATATTTACGTATACGTTCATTGTAAACGCACACTTACAAATAAAATTTGTGAATTTTTGTATTTTCGCCATATCTCTGCTTAGAAAACAGATATCAAAATGCGGTTTTCACTGATATTCTCACTTTTTATCTTATTTGATAATATCATGTAATAATTATATCGTCCCATTTGAAATTTTCAAAAAAAGTTTATGTTAAAGTCACATCGCGCCCTCTACCACTCATCACATTTACTAAAAAGATTCTATTCGTGTAAAATCCACGAAGAGAGCTCTTTCCAACAAAACCTATTATGTGAAAATCTGTTAACCTAAGCCGAAGTTACATTCATTTTCTTAAAGAAATGTTCCCCTTCCCGCGACCCTCATATTTTATGAGCTAGAGCAATATGTGCTGCATCAATATGGTGCAAAATTGATACAACATTGCTATGCATGTTTGTTGGGTATATTTTAGAAAAAGTCATTTTTCTACTTTACCATGAAAAGTACGCCCTCTAGCGGCGAAACTAGAAAC